TGCGCCTCCAGGTGCCAGTGCAAACCCTGGGCTGACTGAACTCCCTGGAAGAGTAGGGCCACCCGGAGCCAGAGTAGCCCCGGCCCCCCACTCCGTCCCTGGACGAGCGTCCACGCTACTTTCTCTTCCCGTCCGCAGCTGCGCACAGACTCGGAGAAGCGCTCACTGGCGGAGAGCGGGCTGAGCTGGTTCAGCGAGTCGGAGGAGAAGGCCCCCCCGGAGGCTGGACTATGACAGCGGCAGCCTGAAGATGGAGCCCGGCGCCTCCAAGTGGCGGCGGGAGCGTCCGGAGAGCTGCGACGACGCGTCCAAGGTTGGGGAGCTGAGGAAGCCCGGCGCCCTGGGACACCCTGGCTCCCTGAAGAAGGGCAAGGCCCCGCCAGTGGCCGTCACCTCCCCCATCACTCACACGGCCCAGAGCGCCCTCAAGGTGGCAGGTGAGCCCAGTGTGCGGTGGCCCCTCTTCCGCAGGGATGTGGCCCCGGGGGGGGCGAGCAGGCAGTTCCCCGGGGAGGCCACGCGCTGTCTGGCCCAAGTCAGGGAAGAGGGTGTTCCTGTCCCCAGTGCCGTGTGCAGACACACTCCTAGGGGCTAAAAGGCGGACAGGAGGCGGATGAGGAGGGTGTTGCGATCAGAGCCTGGTCTGACCCATCTCAGATACTCCGGGGCCCTTTCCTCTCCCTGCACACGTGGCTTACACGTGCATCTTACCTTCCCTGGGTCCTTGTCTGCTAGCTCAGGGAGGTCCTGGGAACACAGTCAGAGCCCAGGCCTCCCGGCTGGCCCCTGGGCAGCTGCTGGCCTCAGCTGGGTCTCCAGTGGCCGCAGGCACTGTCAGAGCCTGGTCCAGAGCCTGGGCCATTCGCGCCCCCTCCCTTCCTTGCCCTGTGCTTAGACTGCTTTCTTCTTCCTTTTTGCTGGAGGCACTGGGGATGGAACCCAGGACCTCGCGCCTGCTCAGCATGTGCTCCACTGCTGAGCTCCACCCTCCCCGACCTACTTGCTTCTTGGTAGCCTTTGTGATCACCTTTGCCATGTCAGCCAAGGTGGAATGGCCTACCATGGGAGCAGAAAATGAGAGCAAACCAACCAGCAGTGCTAGGCCAGCTTTGCCGAGTCCCCCGTCTGGTGAGGGGGGTCCTCAGCCTGTGTGGCCCCTGCTTACCCACCGCCAGGCCCATGAAACTCCCCCAGCACACTGATCAAGCTCCCTTCTCCGCGGAGGGAGAGGCGGGGGCTCCTCTGACTCGTGCGTGTCACCCCGCAGGCAGACCTGAGGGCAAGGCCGCGGACAAGGGCAAGCTCGCGGTAAAGAGCGCGGGCCTGCAGCGCTCCTCCTCCGACGCCGGCCGCGACCGCCTGGGCGATGCCAAGAAGCCCCCCTCGGGCATCGCTCGTCCCTCCACTGCGGGATCCTTCGGCTACAAGAAGCCCCCTCCTGCCACAGGCACGGCCACCGTTGTGCAGACCGGCGGCTCCGCCACGCTCGGCAAGATCCAGAAGTCCTCAGGCATCCCCGTCAAGCCGGCAAACGGACGCAAGACCAGCCTGGACGTGTCCAATGGTGCAGAGCCCGGCTTCCTGGCCCCCCGGAGCCCGGTCCAACATCCAGTACCGCAGCCTGCCCCGGCCGGCCAAGTCCAGCTCCATGAGCGTGACGGGCGGGCGGGGCGGACCCCGGCCCGTGAGCAGCAGCATCGACCCCAGTCTCCTCAGTGCCAAGCAGGCTGGCCTGACCCCCTCCAGGCTGAAGGAGCCCTCAAAGGTGGCCAGCGGCCGGACCACCCCGGCCCCCGTCAACCAGACAGACCGAGAGAAGGAGAAGGCCAAAGCCAAGGCCGTGGCCCTGGACGTGGACAGTGTCTCCGTGAAGAGCGTGGGCTCCCCAGAGAGCACGCCCAAGAACCTAGCCAGCCACTCCCCAGCCCCCAAGTTGGCAGAGCTGCCGCCAACGCCTCTCAGGTACCCGGGCTGGGTGGCATCCTCCCACGGCCCCCTGCTCCCCCGAAGGCCAAGTTCCTTCTCCCTGTTCCGAGCTGCGGGCTGTGCCCTCCTCATCAGCTCTGAGCCTGCCTCCCAGCACACGTGCAGGTGGTGTGCTGCTCACTGACACACATACGCCTACGCGTTCAGCAGTGTCTCCCTTGCGTGTGAGCTGGCCGCCCCTGAAGACCTGAAGGTGCCCGCCTGGGGCATCCGGTCTCCTCCACTGGGTCCATGGTGGTGTTAAGCGAAGCCTCCGCGCTTTGCCAAGAGCCAGAGAGCGGGGAGGCAGCACTGGGCTGTCTCTGAGATGCCACGTGCCTGTTGCTTCTCTGACTCCGTTTTCCTGAACACGCTATTTCATCTTTGCTCCTCAGGGCCACAGCCAAGAGCTTTGTCAAGCCGCCGTCACTGGCCAGTCTGGACAAGGTCAATTCTAACAGTCTGGACCTTCCGTCATCCAGTGACACCCACGCTTCAAAGGTGCCGGATCTACAGGCTCCGGGCCCAGCTGCTGGAGGCACCCCCACTTCGTGCTTTAGCCCTAGTCCGGCCCCGATTCTCAACATCAACTCGGCCAGCTTCTCCCAGGGCTTGGAGCTCATGAGTGGTTTCAGCGTCCCCAGGGAGACGCGCATGTACCCCAAGCTCTCAGGCCTGCACAGGAGCATGGAGTCCCTGCAGCTGCCAATGAGCCTGCCTGGCGCCACCCCCAGCAGCGCCCCCAGCCCCACCCCCCCCGCCGCCCCCGCCGAGGAGGACGTGGAAGAGATGAGCTGGAGCGGAAGCCCCAGGACCGGACAGCTGGACAGGTAGGTGGGTGGGCCCCACGTCGGGGCACTTGTTACTGCAGCTGTGTCTTGTGTCGTTCGTCACGCTGTGACTTTCAGTATCTCTGTACGGTAAGTGAGTTCGTTTGCTTCACAACAACTCTGCGAAATAGGTAGGATTCTGTTTCTAAATTACCGTTCTTGTCCCAGACAAGGGGCGACCAGCACACGGAGACATTAAGTGACTTCTCTGAGATCCCGTGCCTGGCTTAAGGTCATCCGAAGCTTTGCTGTCTGGACCCAGATCATTTCTGCTCCATTACATCCTGGTTTTCATCTGTCATAATATGGTCTTTTAGAAGGCTCGCCGCCCCCTGATTCCTGATCAGAGAAAAACACTGAACGTCTCGGCTCTGTCCCCTGGTCACTGGCCTGGAGGCGGCCTGCCCCCTCTTCCTCCGTGTGTGGGAGGAAGGCGCTTCCAGTCCGGTGTCCGATGTTGCATCCGTCAAACCTCCGGCCCCAGACTAGTTTCCAGGATGGACCCACGTGCTTCTCTCTCTCTTTTCCTCCACAGTAATCAGCGAGATCGGAACACTCTTCCCAAGAAAGGACTCAGGTAACCCTTACACGTGTTCCTTCTTCCCAGATCTGAGGCTCCTGCCCTGAATGAAAAACGTAACTTGGCCTGACCCAGGCCCCCACCGTGCATTTAGTGACCCTGCCAGCCGAGTCATTTGTCTGTGGTTCTGCACACCCCCTCCCCAGGCTCACCTCCGTGTGAGTCAGCTCAGAGCCGGCGTTCTTTTTCGGTGGCAAAGGAGGCGCGGGTGTGCACTTGGGACTTGCACCCTCACCCAGGCCCAGCTCTGGGGTCGCTCAGGTGGGCTGGAGTAGGTCCACCCCTAGTTCCCCACCACGGCCGCAGCACCCAGTGCTCAGTCCAGTGACACCTGCTGCCCAGACGGCCACGTACAGAGCCTCCTCCATCTTCTCACCCACCTCGGGAAGCCCTGCGGGGACACCTAGTCCCTCCACACCTCCTGACGGCCTGAGGGGGGCCTGGTCACCGCCTGTCTGCCCCGCCTGCCTTGTCCTGCCGTCAGAGCCTCTGGCCTCGAGTGTAGACACCTAGACTGAGCTCTCGGCTGCCTCTGCAGGTACCAGCTCCAGTCCCAGGAGGAGGCCAAGGAGAGGCGCCACTCCCACACCATCGGGGGGCTGCCCGAGTCCGACGACCGGTCCGAGCTGCCGTCCCCCTCTGCACTCTCCACGTCCCTGAGCGCCAAGGGCCAGCTCACCAACATAGGTCAGTGCTTCTGGTCACCAGACCGCGGCGGAGGCAGCCGGCCCTCGGGTTTCATCTCGAACTTGATTTGTGCCGTGTTGGCTGGTGCGCGGTGCCTCCATTTACCCATCCAGCGGGAGATAGATGGTGGAGAGGTGGCCCTGGGCACACGCTGTGGGTCCTCGTAGCTCAGGGAGTCTGCGTCGTGGTGATGTGGAAAAGCCGTAACCTGAGGCCCAGCGCTTAGGCCAGGGCAGCCAGAGAGGAGCCGCCCCTCCCAGCACTGACCCAGGACCCTGGACCCTCCATGTGGGCCGCTGTGGGGGAAGGGGAGGGCGGCTGATGGCAAGGATGGGCCATGCCTCTGGGTCCAGGAAATCCATGATTCGCCAGCTGCTCTGGCCCCTGGGACCATCCCAGCCCTGGAGGCAGAGCTGGGTGAGGCTGTCCTGGCCACACCCTTCCTGGCCCAGGAGCAGGGGAAGGAGGCCACTCTGATTCAGAGATGGGAGGGGCAGAGGTGCAAGGCTCGTAGCCCTGGTTCTGCAGCGCTGGCTCCCGAGGCCGCGTGGCCTGGTGGGACTGTGCCGGGCCGGGCCTCTGCTGCCTCGCTGTGTCTCTAAACCCTCCCCTCTTTCGCTGAGTGAAGGAAAACAGGAAAGCACGAGGGCCTGCAGCAGCCTAGGGGGCGACTGTGGGGACTTTGAGAAAACTGGGAGTCAGCGTCATTCTTCCCAGAGAAGGGAGCGATTCTCCGGGGAAGGTAGTCTGGTCCATGGCGGCAGGGCCGGCTGGTTCTCTGTGTCCGGGGAGGACCACACTGGGACGAGGGCTGGGCCCGCGATCACCTCAGAGGGTCCACGTGCAGAGGGCCCAAGGGAGGTGGGGGCCTTCCTCCGCCTGGGTCCTGGTGGAGACACATCCACGACAGGAGCTGGGGCCTGTGAGCGTGGCCCACATGGGCGTGAACGCTGAGTGGCCAGGGTTCACGGGGGCAGGTTCTGCAAGTCAGCAGGGTTGTGGAGCCTCCCGACACTCTGACTGGCTCTGACCTTCCAGCTAGGGGGGACAGGGCACGGGGCCCGGCTCTTGCTGCTGGAGCATCAGCCCTGATGGTGTGCGTGTTGGGGGGCCCTGCTCTCCCTGCGGGGCCCCGCCTGATCCCCCTTCTCTTGCCGACTCTTTCCATCGCTGCTCCGATCTGAGTCTTGGTGCCAACTCTCAGGCCTCCCAGGCCGCCAGCTTGTTAGGGAACCAGGACACCCCACCTCCATTGGCACATCCAAGGATCTGAAGGTTCTGGAAAGCCACTAGGCCCCCAGCCTCACCTTCAAAAGTGACATCTCCAGGGCAGGCAGGCCCAAGGGAAGGGCTTTCAAATAGGCCGTGATCTTCGTCCTCTGCTCCAGACGCAGGGCCTCCCCAGTAGGGCTCGCTTTCCCAGGGGACCCACTCAGACCACCACTCAGACCGCAGCTGCCTGCACACTCCTGCCCCCCCCACCCCCCATTTACCTCTCAGGCTCCTGGTGCCCCCCAGGGACCAGAGCTGATGCCCCTGCCTCTCTCCTGCCCTCCCTTCCTCTCCTGTCCCCTCCCTCTGTCCTTCCAGTGAGCCCCACTGCGGCCACCGCGCCAAGAATCACCCGCTCCAACAGCATCCCCACCCACGAGGCCGCCTTCGAGCTGTACAGCGGCTCCCAAATGGGGAGCACCCTGTCCCTGGCCGACAGACCCAAGGGGATGATTCGGTCAGGATCCTTCCGAGACCCCACGGACGACGGTGAGACTTCATGCCAGCGCGGTTCACGCTCATTCCGGCTCTGCTGGGCCCCTCTCCGCCCCCACCTCCACCACCACCACCGCCACGTTTACGCACATGTGTGATTCCCAGGACATCCAGTCGGGCCATTTCAGCTCTTTCTTCCCATCACTTCGAATGGTCTAGGGGCCCAGAAACCTTGGGTGGCACCGTCGAGCACTGGGGCTTTGGGGTGGAGCAGCTCCTGGAGGGGGCAGGGAACAGCCGGAAGGTTCCGTGGCCCCAGAGTCTCAGAAGGCTCCTGCCCTCCTGGCCCTTCAGGGGACACGAAACTCACAGGGACACAGAGGCAGCTCAAATCTTTGCAGAGTTAGGCATCTCACTCCTCTTTCAAGAACGTTCCAGAGACCAGCTTCAGGGCGGCGCTCTGGGCTTCGGTGGTCTGGGTGTTTGCGGTCGGAGCTGGCAGAGCCGGCGTGCTGGGGGCTCCACCCCCGAGGTGTTCAGGACCCGTCCCTGGAGCCATTCCTCGCAGACGGGCTCGCTCTCGACGCAGGGCTGTGGTTCTGGCTCCTGAGTGATCGGGAGGGGTGTCTTGCACGTGGGTCTTCCTCCACCCGAGTGGCCCCACCAGGAAGAGGACCCTCGGGCACAACTGTAGGGGTGTTCTGAGCAGCTCTGATGAGAAACCGCCCTTCCTGCCCGGGAGGAGGAGGCAGCACCTGTCCGCGAGCACCTCTTCTCCCTCCCCTAGCCCTCGCGCCCTCGCCTGCCCTCAGAGGAGCGGGCTGCCGGGGGTCCCGCTGGGCCGCAGGAGGAGGCCGGCTCTGCCCCGACCTCAGCCCTCGGTCCTCCGCTGACAGCCCCGCCCAGGCTGTGATCCAGCTGAGCGCATGTTCTGTTCTGTTTGTTCCAGGTGCCCTGCTGTCAGAATCCAAACTCCCGACCCCCTCCCCGTCTCTGAGCCCCCCGTTAACTCCGTGTTCTGCTTCTCTTGCAGTTCACGGCTCAGTGCTGTCCCTGGCCTCCAGCGCCTCCTCCACTTACTCCTCAGTAAGACCACCTACCCCCCACCTCCCCGCTCGCCACCC